TGTTATAGGACAGGGAGAGGGGCAGCCCAAGCCCCGCAAACCTGCCTATTCTAAATGGGTTCTGCCATCCACCGCATCAACACAAAACATATGAGACTTCAATGGGAAGGAACTTTAATAAAACTAGGAAACAATACAGGAAAAGCAAATAATCTAGTTTCTAAATGAAACACCCAAAGTTACCCATCCCCTCGTGGGTAAAACTCCATCCAAATGGGATCGGCCCAGAACAAGGCCCCAAAGCCTGCCACAAGTCCAAAGCATCCTCCAGTGGGGACCCACAGAAAAGGGTCACAAACAACCAGACAAGCCCGGAAGGAAAAGAGCAAAATCAACATCAAGACAAAAGCTGCCATTGTCACCTCCCCATGGGTCTCACCCACATCTGTGTCACCCCGTCCATGACCAAAAGACAAGCGCAGTTTCTTCACGTGTCTCTAGGCTCCATGCGCCTCCTCCAGGTCTCCTGGCTCCATCCTGCTTCTTCCTTCCTCAGTCTCTTCTGCAGCTTCTCCTCTTCCTGCTCAGCTCCACCCTCCCTTGGGTGGGGCAGGGAACCTCCCCCTTTCCTGGGTACCACCCTGTTACAATAGCAGGAATCTAGAAAACTTAAATAAGGGACCAGGAAAATGAATAACTATAAGAAAGTGAAAATCAAAATCAACAAACAACTATGAACCAGAGATACTCTATGAGGGGTGAGGGGTGTAGGGGGGGAGGGTTTGGGGTCAAAATAAGGGGGTTGCAATTGTATGGGGAATATAAAAATAAAATTAAAAAAAAAATAAAGGGTTTATTTCTCAAGATTGGTAGCCTGAATTTACACATTCAGGAGATTATATATTTATCTTGATTGGTACATAATACTATTATAATTTAATATCTTAAAAGTTGATTACAGGCACATTAAATTAAGTGATGAGAGTTCTTTGGTTTGATCTCACTAGGTTATTAAAATTAATGCATATTCAAACAAAAAACATAAATATATGCTTGATTTATGTAAAAAATATTAAAGCTGTACTGAAGAGAAAACTGGAGTCATAATAATCCTATCACTTATTCTATATATTTTTTCTTGTACACCTGAGTATATATTTAAAGGTCGTATACATGTATATGCATAAATATACATATATATTTCTACATATTTCATTTACAATTATAACTATTTTCTCACATCATTGAGCCTGTTCTGCTCCCCACTCTGTCTTTGGTGACACCATTTAAAAACTACATATTAGGTTCATCTATGAAATTGCCAAAATTTTTGATCATATTTGTCAAGAATAGTAATTTCATATGGTTTAAATTAATAATACTATCCCAGTGGCGTTTGAACATTTTGGACTCAAAATCATAATAAGAATTAAGTTTAAAATGAAACAATACAAACACACACGTGCAATTATAAACCAGAAACTAATTACCTTTTTCCATTAATTTTGCTCCATTAATTTTTAAAAAATATTCTGAACATTAATCTCTCCATTAATTTTACAATCTACTAATGGCTGCAATTTGCAGTTTAAAACACTGTTCTCAGAAAAATTGTAATTTATTTGACCATTATTTCCTACTGCTGTATATGTAAATTAATTTAGATTTTTCTTTATTAAAAATAATGCTGCAGTAAACATTTTTCTCTATTTGCCATCATTTCAACTCACTTTGTTAGGAAAAAGTGAAATCCCTGGCTTAGAGGACCCTAGAAACACTGGCATTTAATAGTAATCATAGCTACAATTCCTTTATAGGTGTGTGTGACGTGGTGCCAGGCAGTTTCCAAGCATTATTCATGTTGGTCACACACAACCACAGGGAATGAGCATTGCTGTTGTTATAGATGGAAATTAGGAGAAATAGGTGACTGACCCAAGTATACACACAGCCAGTGAGTCCCAGAACTGGAACCTGAACCCAAATCTCTCCCTCAAAGCCCAAGTTCTCATTTTTACTAGAACCAAAGGAATGGCTGTGCTTCCACAGAAGAACATGCTATACCCATACACCCTATCTGATTTGTTTTACTATCAAAGGACATATTTGGGAGGTGGGATGAAACTGAGCCATAATGCTGCAATTCAATTACTATCTAATAATTGTAGAATATTTGAAGATGCCAGGAATTCTTGCCTTGAAATTATCTTATAAATGACTTAGAAAACAGCCTTAACTACTAAAAAAGTGAGTCAGTATGTGACTATAGGTGTGACTACGAAAATTAGAGGAAGATAAGCTTTTGAGAATAAGAATCCCAAGAGTTGCAGGCCCAGGACCTAGAAGGAGGCTTCTTTGAGACTGACTGGATGCAGATGCTAGCTAGGTTCATTAACATCAATTTAGGGCTTTCCTGGGTAAACTACTTTGATCCATCATTTAATCTTGAGAGGTATCTCCCAGGATTATTTCCATTTGCCTTGAGGAAATTCAAGCTAGGAGAGATGAGGAACTAGCTCCAGGCATCAAAGATAGAAGATTTGAGTTTGACCCCTCAAGCACTTTCTCTTTTAGATGAGATTTCTGGACCCCCATGAGGTCCAGAGTTTGAAAACAAACAAACAAACAAACAAATAAAAAAAATAGCAACAAAAAATGGAGACTCAGATTCTACAACTGGAGTGGGAAAAGATATGTTGAGCTTGAAGCAACTTGTGCCAGAAAGTGAGGAAGGGATCAAAGAAAGAGCAAAAAAAAAAAAAAAAAAAATCCCTCCTTGGTGTGTATGTGTGTGTACTTACGTGTGTTGATGATATAAGGACACAAGTAATTATTAAATGTGATTAGTCAGAATTCCAGCTGTTGATAACACTGCCTAAATAATGTCCTTTGAGGCCTGCCATCTCAAAAGGAAATAATTTGACAAAATAACTCATTCTAGAAAGCAAGCTTTCCCATAACCATACGAATTTTGGGGAAAAACCACTTTTTTCTCATCACTGCAAACGACAAAGTGATTGCTTTTTAGGTATATACTTTTCACATTTTAGACTTTATCTCCAGGCAGTGCCACTCACACTTTATTCTGTGTAAGTTGGATTGTCAGTTAAAGGTCTTTTGAAGCTCTGAACTGTGGTATGTGATGTCAAGTCATCAGTTATCTTCAGTAAGCAGGCATATCGATTTCAGAGTGTTCCAGATGAAACATGAATTTTAACTCAGCTTAGTAATTCACGTAAATTTGCTATTTGGAGCATGCTCCTGGGTGTGCTTTGCCCTGATTCCTGTGGATTATTGATGTGTGATTGCAAATGCTGGTAGTAATGCTCAGTCAGCAAGTCACGGAATGGCAAAGAGGTGTTTTCTAGCAAACATTGCGGCCCAGTCTCTCTGCCAGTAGGGGGCACTATTGTGATGATCTAGAATGGGAGATGGGAAACCATGGCCCACCATCATTTGTGTCAATAAAGTTTTATTAGAGCACAGTTGTGCATACTTACTTAGGCTTGGTTTATGTACCTACTGAGTAGTTACAACAACCAAAAGAATTGAGTAGCCTACACAGGCAAAACAGTTTACTATTTGACCTTTGTCATTTATAATTGGCTTTATTAGGAAAATTTCCCACATAATAACAGCTATAGTGATATCTAATGATATACTGGGGATCAGATACTGAGCCAAGCTCTTTGTCATTATTGCTTTTTCATTCTTTCATAACCTTGAGAAGTAGTTTTGCTTGTTGTTGTTAAATAGACACGAACACTGAGGTGTATAGAGTTAAAATACTTAGCCAAGGGTCTCGTAGTCATTTGGTGGCCTAGTGGGGAACAGATCTAGTCATACCTGCATCCAGGGCCCTTCCTGTTTTATTCACTCTGCCCTGAGGCTTAAGCCAATTAAGTGGAAAACTTCCATTTCCCTTTCCCATGGAATCAGGAGAGTCTCTGCTGTATTTCCCAGGATAGAATTGCCAGATAAATGTGTTCATTGACTAATCATCCTGTTTTCAAGCGCTTTCCAAATAGCTAATCAGCTTTGAAAAATAACCACAATAACCTAGTTTCAATTTCATTTTAACATTTATTAATTTAGCTACTAGCTTACCTTTGAAAGAAGAGACATTCAGCCACATGCTTATAACACATCCACAGCACCACTAATTTCCCCAATTATTATCTATATTCATCGTAATTACTGATATTTTACATGAATATTGTAATAGCAATGTTATGCATGGGCCTGTATCATGAACACTATGCTAAACTTACATGTGAAATAAGATATGATGTGCTATAGGTAATTGGTGGTGTGTTTCTCATACATGAGCAATGAAATCACCAGATGTCTGTGCCTTATGTAATCCCAACAGACTAGCTATGAAAATTGTTATTAGGTGAACTGGAACCTTTGACTTTTATATTATGGCTAAAGTAAGATTGTGCTGGGATGCATCTTGTTGGTAAAGTGCAGCAATCACGAATCGGATATTGTCGTGGGGTGATCACGAGGGGCTGATAGTCAAAGAAACATTACAGGGGACAGGCCCTATGATCATCTCACTTGTCCTGACCTCCCTCATAACAGCTGCTTCCCCATCTGGGACAGCTCCAGCTGGGCTTGGCCACCAGAGGTTCCTAGTCAACACCTACTCAGTCACAACCAGCTTCTACACTTCTGTCTCAGTGATCTTTGTGGTTATGAGATAACCAGCTGAGGCTCCTGGCCCAGATCTTAGAATGATGGGCTACCAGAACCTGGGAGGGGGATTCTGGGGAAAGAACCCAGACATGACATTTCAATTAAACAAGATAAAATCTGGAGATCTGCTGTACAACATTGCATTTGTAGTCAACGATAATGTATTGTCCACATAAAAATGTGTTAGGCAGTAGATTTCATGTTAAAAGTTCTTACCACAATGATTAATAAAAGAGTATAACAAGCTCATAAGTTAAAACAAAATTACAGCTGCTAAGCTCAAATTTTTTCACTAAGATAACTAAATCTCTTCCAGTGTGCCTGAAGTCAAATTGTACTTTTATAAAGTCTCGACTTACCTCAAAACTCACAGCTCCATTGTGGTCTGTATCAAATGCATTGAACAGAAAATGTGCATATGTTGTCGAGTCTGAAATATTGAAAAGGAAAAGTCATTAAACCTCAGTTTCAAATATCCTGCATCTGACTTGTACAGATTGTCCAAGCTGCCTTTCACCCAGCAAGATTTACTCTGTGTCTTTTAACTTGTGCCTCTGCCCAGCTGCCCTCCTCTTTTTCAGGAGATGATTCTTATTCGAGGGTCATTGGCATGAACAAGCTGCGCAGAGGCCATTGGGGACAGACATTCTCTGTGAGTTTCAGGTTGGAAACATTCAGACCCTGGGAGTCTTGGGTGATATGACCTAAAGGAGCTTGCTATGGTACCACAGATGTGTGTGAGGGTTAGGTGAGGTGCATCTGGGCAATACTTAGAGCTTGGAGACTATCCTTACAAGTAAAATAAGAGAAACACTAGTAATTAGACAACAATGAATTGCCATTATTAGTCTTATTATTATTATTAAATTGTTCCTCATGTTTACAACTCAGAGGTTGAGAAAATTGCCCAAAGTCACATGGTCAATAAGAAATAGGGAGGGACAAAACTCAGAGTTTTCTTTTAAAAATTTATTTATTTATGGATACAAGAACTGGGGTGTAGGCCAGAGGTGTGTGGGGGGGGGGGCGGTGAGAGGATCCACCAGAGAGAGTGGGGAGCAGAACAGGCAGACTGACCGAAATACACTGCTGAGGGAGCAGTGGGCAAGACAGGAGAGGCCTGCTGTGCCATGTGGGTAGCTCCCTGGCCAGGTAGCGAACTCATGCTGCAGAGGCTGCGAACAGCTTCCTAGTGCTGTGCTTAACCCCTTGCACTGGCAGGGAGGCCCATAACTCAAGAGTTTTCTGATTGAAAACCCAGGCTACCCCACAGCTGGTCAAGTTTTATGATAATAAATTGGGGAAGATGGTGACTTGTGAAATTTCTGTGGCCAGGTTGGAAGAGGATTATGTGACCCTGGAGAATCCCAGTTGCATGGAGTAGGGAGCCCTTGTTCTCTGTGGGTCCTGGCAAGGACTGGGGGTTCTGGGTGATATAGGTAGTTTGGGACAGGCTTCAGGCCTCAGGGCCCCCTCACGCTGCCTAATGGCTCTGCAGTAATTGGAAATCCAGCACTTCCTCCTACTTTGTTTCCAGTAGTTTCTTTCTCCCTAATTTTCCCTTCTTTTCTCCTCTCCAGTTTCTCTTTGTCTTCTTAATCTCTGAACTCTCTGCCTTTTCATTTTAAAAGTATGTACTTTTTCTTATTGTTTTCCTCATGCACAGTTTTCATTTTTAAGTGCTTCTATTTGACCCTGGATCAAATTTACTTGATTATTTTAAATGTTTCGTCTCATGGGTTTTAGCCTTTTATCTTAACCTTTTTTATATTTCAAAAATTTGTAACCTTTTAGCTCATTGGCTCTAGGCTTCCATCTTCTGTTTAAAATCTTGTCTATGTCTATTTTATAACTTTTAACCTTTATTTTATTGGGATTTAATAAAACTTCCTTTCACCTTTTATGTTATAAGTTGCTCTTTAAAGGCTGTCAAGAAGCTAAGTTAGAGTAGCAGGAGTAGAGAATTGTCCTCCCCTAGTAAGAGAGGTGAGAGGGCATGCAAACTTCTCCCCCAACTCTCAAATTCCCTTGACCTAATATGAACTATTTAGCTCGAATTCTTCACCCCATTGGTTACATTATGGAAGGCTGTATATGTCATGTGTTTGTACAGTTTCTCAAAATTATGGTGGCATTTTCTTTCACCTCTTACCTTTGGATATGATGTGATAAAGTTCTCATTTTTAAACATATGAATTAATTACATTGTTTTTTTTTTTTTAAGATTTATTCATGAATATAGGAAACCGGGTACAGGCCAGATGCATGGGAGGGTGAGAGGATACACCGGAGACAGAGTGGGGAACAGAACAGGCAGACTGATGAAATACACTGTTGAGGGGAGCAGCTGGCAAGGCAGGAGAGGTCTGCCGGGCCATGTGGGATTTGAACCTGTGCTGCAGAGGCCGCAGACAGCTTCACAGCCCTGCACTCAACCACCTCTGCCACCAGGGAGGCCATGAATTCATTACATTGTTATCATCAAGTATATAGACACCATAGTAGGCCTACATGTATATAAAACAGTTATGAGTAGAGTAGACATCCATGTAGCATTGACAAGTTCCAGGAAGAAATCCTTTGGGATCTGGGGCCAAGGATTTAATTGCAGTCAACAGGATGCCATGGTTGAACTATCAAGAATTGTCAATCCACTTTTACTTCGAAGGTTATGTTCTCAATGGCATTTTTATCCAGACTTCTGGAAGTAATTGGTGCCCCATGGAGATAGGAGTTGAGGGTGATATATTAAACATATTTTTGGGAGAAGAAAAAAAAAAGAGATCTTGCTTATTTTATAATGAACTTCAATAAGCAGGTCTCTTGTTTTCATATTTATATAATCAGGGTAAATGCCTTTACCTTACCAAGCAGAACTCACTATGAATAAAGGCTCAGAACAGACAGTGCTAGCAATTTTTAAAAAAAAAAACAAACAAACAAACAAGAAAACTCGGGCAGATGAAACTTACAATTGGTCTCAAATGGGGTTGCTCTAGTTTTAAAACCTGACCATGGGAGGTCACTCTCTAATGTGTTATAGAGGGCGTGCAGTTCTTCTAAAATTACCTTGGCAATTTTTTGTGGAAGCTAAGTCAGTTTTTGGTCATGATATACCACGTAGAGAATAATTGTTAATAGTGTTGTGGAGTCAGACTGCCTGAATTTGAATCTCAGATCTACCAAATATTAACTGTGTGACCTTGGGCAAATTGCTTCACCTCTCTGTCTCAGCTCTCTCATTTGTAAAACGAAAACGGTACATATTTCACTGACTTGCCATGAAAACATTAAATGAGATACTGCATGTGAAGCGTTTAGAACAGTGCTATGTTCATATTAAATTTCAATATTAGTTGTTCTTTCACAGACAAGTCCCCCACCCTTATTTAAACTACCTTCAGGAAATTTGATCAAAAAAATTTTTGGATGTACTACATAGTCAGTCAATCCCCTCTGCAGTGTATTTCAGCGCTCTGTACAATGTCCCTGGTGTATCCTCTCACCCTGCCACCCCGCCCCGATACCCCGCACCTCTGGCCTATGCCCAGCTCTTGTATTTATAAATAAATACATCTTAAAAAAAGAGAATGTTTTCTCAGATATTTTTTTTTTTGGGGGGGGGGCGGAGAGTGGTAGGAAAGAGTTACAGAAAGAGACAGAAGCCAAAAAAGGGAGGCTACAGAAAAATCTAGATTCTGACCCAGATCTGCTGCGTAAGAGATGTGTGGCCCTGAGCAAATCGTTTAACTACACTCAGACCTAGATTTCACATCTGAAAATTGAGGATAATTACATTTGTCCTAATTCTGAGAGTTGGGAGCCTGAAGTGAGACCTATAATGCATGTGGAAGAGCTTTGTGCCATCCCCAAGGTGAAACTGTCACGGAGAGTACATTGGGGAGGCAGGGCACAACTCAAGAGTGAACTCTTGGTTATTTGATACCTTGTAAGTAATTCACATTCATGATACTCTGAAAATGATGTGCAATGAATTCTTTCAAATAAAGGTAAAAACGCTGAGTCATGTCATGATTTCAAACCAAATTCGAGATTGTAAGCATAATTCTGAGAGTAGATTAACAAGCCCACATTTATACTTACCTCCCTGTGGAAAGAACTGCGAGTAAATCTCTTTGAAGGTTTCTTCATTAACCACGCCACTGGGGCATTCCTACAGAAGGCGGCAGAGAAGAATAGGAACAAAGTGTTCATAAAATTGATTTCATTTTGCACAATTTGAAAAAGAATTGTCTACCTTGCAAAGTTGCACCCAAAAATTTAGCCATCTGCCCATTATTGCCAAGACTAAAAGCAGCCTTCCATTTCTCACAGGAAGAAAAAAAATAATGGCAGCTGCAAAAATTTTTGCACGTAAGTGTCAAAGCTGCTCTGACATTAAAAAACTGACTGCTGATTTTAAGAACACAGGTTTACACTATGGAGAGCTGTGTGGAGATTTCTGGACCTACTAAATATAGAGCTTCTATATGACCCAGCAATTCCACTCCTAGGTATTTACCCAAAGGACACAGAAACATCAATTCCAAAGAGCACCTGCACCCCTATGTTTATAGCAGCACTGTTTACAATAGCTAAGCTTTGGAAACAACCCAAATGCCCAAAAATAGATGACTGGATCAAGAAGATGTGGTCCATATACACCATGGAATATTACTCAGCAATCAAAAAAGATAAACACATGCAATTTGCAGCAACATGGGTGGCGCTGGAAGGGATCATGCTCAGCGAAATAAGCCAGAAAGAAAAAGAAAAATACCGGATGGTCTCACTCATAGCAGGAATCTAGAAAACTTAAATAAGGGACCAGGAAAATGAATAACTATAAGAAAGTGAAAATCAAAATCAACAAACAACTATGAACCAGAGACACTCTATGGGGGGTGGGGGGCGGGGAGGGGAGGGATTGGGGTCAAAATAAGGGGATTGCAATTGTATGGGGAATATAAACATAAAATTTATTATAAAAAATAAAATAAAAAAACAGAACACAGGTTTATTATCAATGAAGAAAGAGGAACTTAGGTTGCTTTTCTTGCTGCACAGACACTGAAGGAAGTTTTTAGGATGCACTTTGTTGGAACTTGTGTTGTGTCCGTGATGATTTGCTGGACCCAAAGACTCTTTAGTTCAATGAGAAAAAAAGTTTAAAGTGACCCGAGAAGTTTCAAGTATGAATGAATGAACTTAACTAACCATACACAATAAAATGGTTTTATAACATGTGACCTTGAATAAGACAGAACCTCAAGATTTTTTGAATCTCTGGAGGGGAGCCTTGAAAAGAAACAGGCTGGGCATCATGAATTCCTGCTCTTCATCCTGTGGGTGGATTTATTTGAGATTGCTGGATACTCACAAACTTTAGATATTCTATGAATGTTGGGCTGTGTACCTGTTGGGCCCAGAGTGAACTGGGCATTTTCTCAAAAAGAAATTAAAAAGTGGAATATTAAAAGGGTCAGCCTTGGTGCAGAAAAGAGAACTAAGAAATGAACCTTAGACCAAAGTGAGGTCAAAACTCTCTCTGCTCCCTGGGTATGTAAGAAAAGTGTGGTTGGACAGGGGAAGAAAAGGGTAAAGGGGTGTAGGGGAACAAAGAGGGAGGAAGCAAAGGGTCTAGGGTGGGGGAATATGAGTCCTTTGGGGGCCCACACACTATGGTAACTGCCTGAAGGGGGGAATCCTACAATTTCTTATGAAAACAATGATGTAAACCAATATTACCCCAATAAAAATGTTAAAAATATTCTGCAAAATTCCAGTTAACTAGATATTTTTTTAAAACACAGACAATTCACAACACAGGAAATGAAAATAATTAGTAAGCAGAAAAATATTCAATCTCAAAAAAAATGTCTGGTAGGGAATTGGAGGTGCAGCGCCTCCTGGAGCAGTGGGGGCTGACGGTCATGTTGAGTCACTTGTGGGCTGTCAGTTGTCCACTGAGGGTGGGGAAGTGAAGCTCTGTCCAGACTTTCTTGGTCACTTCTCATTCCAGGCCCGTGATCCCCGGGATCCCCATGCTTCCGGAGTCACAGCTTCCCCTACTTGTATGATATAAAGTCCCACATTCACTGCAGAGAGTCAAGGGTGTGCTAACTTCTTTGATTTTAGACAAAAATATCCCATGTGATTTTAATTTGCCATTTTCTCTGAGATCTTCAAAAATCATCTCTTGTGTTTAAACATTCACTTAGCCTTAAAAATCATTGTCCTCTTGGGAATCAACTTGATTTATTAATTTGATCTTTCTGTATTCCAATTAACCAGTTACTCACAGCAGTGATGTGGTTCCTTCACAAGAAGAGTTTTCTATTTTCTCATTCATTGGTGTGAAAGGAAGGGCCTCTGATACATAAACACAATTTAAAATAATAGTTTCAAGATATTTGCAGAGCCTGTCAATGTACATTTCTCCCGTGTGATCATTGTAATCAACCTATGACTTAGATCTCTTCATTCACAGAGGCAGAACTTGAGGTTCTGAGGACAAAGGCCCTTGTCACTCAGCCAGCCAGTGAGAGAGCCGGAAGGCAGGCTTGGACTTTTGACAAGGTCACCTCTAGGTTTTGCATTTGATGCACCCTGTAGAAATAACAATGACCCCAAAGACCTAAGAGGATTAGAGAAAAGAAAACACAACCAAAAGCAAATGAAGAAAAAAATATATAATAAAATCAGCAAACTGTGATGGTTAATTTTGTGTCAACTTGCATGAGCTGCAAAGGCTGAATGTTTGGTCCACACTATACTGGATGTTCCTGTGGGGGTGTTTTTGGATGAGATTTACATTTATATCAGTGGACTTTGAATTTAATAGATTGCCCTCCATCATGTGGGTGAGCTGATCTAGTCAGTGGAGAGCATGACTTGAAGAAATGGCTGATCTTCCCCACAAAAGAAAGAATTCTCCAGGCAACAGCCTCCTGTTACAATGACTTTTCCTGGTTCTACAGCAGAATGAATTTGAACTTGAATTACAAATTTCATCTGAGCTTCCTCTTCCTGAATCTCTATCCCCCACACCATCAGATTTTGGATTGACTAAGTCTCCAGAAGCATGAGAGTTAACTTCTGAAAATGAATCTCTGTCTGTTTATATTCCCATCCATTGATTCTGTTTCCCTGGAGAATCTTGCCTAATATACAAATAAATGAACAATCAATACCTCCAATGTCAAAAAGGAAAGAAGATAGCTAATCAAAAGTTTTAGATAGACAAGTCATTTCAGTTTTAGTCATTTACATATAGACTAAATGACTCTATCTAGTTGGCAGTCAGAGAACCAATTTTAATACCAAATAAGCACTTTGTAGTTGGACACTCTCACACATGGAAATTGTGATTTATTGGTCACTTAACTATGAGCCATCTGCTTGGGATGGTAAGGAGGGCGCTGATAGATGGCTCTCTGCCATCAGGAGATAAATTTTTGCAAGGTCGGAGCTGAGAACTTGGAGTTAAAATGATGCAAGCGGGAGATGAAGATGGGAAGAGAAGGGACATCTGTTCTCACAAAACTGGTCAGCTGTCTTTGGCCTCTAGATGCATTGATAGCTATAGATTATGATGCAGAATATTTAAAAATTGACTGTCTCATATGCATTTGTATTATGTTTATCGGCATGCCTGTGTCAGATGAAATCCTTTCTCTGCCGACTGAAAGCTCCTTCTAAGTTTTAGGATGGGCAAGTTATCACCAGGTGAGTGAGTCTTTCTCCATCTCATATTCCTTATGTTAATTTATATCCTCAGCTGGTACATTTTGTTTGCTTTTATTCTAGGAATTCTTTTTTTAAAAAAAAGATTTACTTATTTATGCATACAAAAACTGGGGTACAGGCCAGAGGTGCGGGAGGGTGAGAGGATTCACCAGAGACAAAGTGGGGAGCAGAACAGGCAGACTGACGAAATACGCTGCTGAGGGGAGCAGCGGGCGAGGCAGGAGAGGTCTGCTACGCCATGTAGGTTGCTCCCTGGCTGGCTGGGGATCAAACTTGTGCTGTAGTGGCTGGTCATAGCTTGATAGCGCTGTCTTTAATCCCTGTTCTACCAGGGAGGCCCCTCTATTGCTTCTTAAAGGCTTCACTGTGATATGATCGGCTTGCAATAAATGTGGAATGAGATTTTCCTAGCACACAGATGCCTTAGATTTGTCAGTTGGTAAAGAGAGTTTGGGGGAGGTGGAGGGAAATCCTACAGATGTTCCCTAATCACCCTTTTTAGACTTCTCAGATAGTGTCCTGTTATATGTGTGTCAAAATCAATTGTGATTATGCTATTACTGATATAACACTTTATTAGTATGTTATAGAATATTGATATTTTAAAATAATTAATATGGTGAGGAGGAGGAAGAAGAGATTGAGGAGGATCATATGTTTGCTTTTTATTTCCCTGACAATGTGTTCAGTGCTTTACATGGTTCATTTTTCATGAATGAACGGATGTGTTAAAAAATAAACTGAAGACTGTTGAACATTTTAAGAGTTTGCGTGGGCAAAACTGACTCAAATCAGGCAGCATTCAATCTAGCAGACAGGATGGAGTGGCTGCAGAGAAGAATAAAGTGAAAGATTTTTAAATCCAGAGGGAACAGAAACAAAGATGGTATGAAAGGAATAAAGGGGGCAGGTTTTTGCAAAGTTGCTTTCCTTAGGGGGTACCTGGGTCCATCAGCCAGATGACTTGACAGGTGATTCCAGGTTAACTGGCTCAAGATTCCATTCTTGGGGGAGCAGAAACTGTAATTAAGTTCAGTTTGGTGACTTGGGGATTAGATTCCATTGGGGATGTTGTCTTATTTTTAACACACATTAGAGTATCTCCATTTTATGGAGGAGAAAATTGTATTACAAGGAAACAACCCACTGACTCATAATCAGAAAATGGCAGAGCACAGTCTCCGGATATTGAGCACAGAATCAGGAAATTTGAGTGTCAAAGCAACTTAGATACAATCCAGTTGAATGGCCTCGTTTTAAAGGTGAGGAGACTGGTTGAAGAGGTTACAGGACTTGTCCATCAACCACAAAGTGGGGCTGCTGAGTCCTGGCTTGTGACTTAGTCTCCTGAGGTCTAGGCTGATGCACTGACACCTTAGATGTCTCCATACAGTGTCTGGAAGGTTCTGCCAGGTCAAGTTTAGA